CGCGCCCCGCTCGCCAGGGCCGCTGCCCCACGGGCCCGCGCCGCGGGCGGGAGGTCAGAGTGACAGGCTTCCAGGGGTCACGGCCCTTGGGTCTGGGTCTCGGCGGCCTGGCGGCCCCCAGCCCTGACAGCAGATGTCACCCTGGCCCGGCGTCCGGGGAGGTCGGAGACCCAAGACCAGGACCCTTCGGGGTGCGGCCGGACCGAGCTCCCAAAGCCCCCGACCCCCAGCCACGACCCCCCCCCCGTGGGGGGTCGGCGTCGCCACGGCCCTCCGCAAGCTTGGCGCGATGGAACCCCCAGGAGGGGCAGTTACGGGGGAACCTGGCCTGTGCCTAAGGGCTGCACTCGGGTTCCAGGGCCGCCGGGGCAGAATGTCACGATGGACGAGGGGGGCACGCCCCTGCTCCCCGACAGCCTGGTCTACCAGATCTTCCTGAGTCTGGGCCCCGCCGACGTGCTGGCCGCGGGGCTGGTGTGCCGGCAATGGCAGGCGGTGTCCCGGGACGAGTTCCTGTGGCGGGAGCAGTTCTACCGCTACTACCAGGTGGCCCGCGAGGTGCCGCGGCACCCAGGTCAGCGCAGCGAGCGCCGAAGTCCCAGGGGTGCCCGGCGGGCGGGAGGGGGTGAGCCCGAGCGGCGCCGGGGAGGCGGTGGGTGCACCCGGCTGAGGCCGGAGTCGGGCCCCAGCAGCGTCACCCCCACAGCGGCCACGTCCTGGTACGAGGAGTTCCGGCGGCTGTACGACATGGTGCCCTGCGTGGAGGTGCAGACGCTCCGGGAGCACACGGACCAGGTCCTGCACCTGAGCTTCTCCCACTCGGGCTACCAGTTCGCGTCCTGCTCCAAGGACTGCACCGTGAAGGTGAGCGTGGCCGGGAGGCCCGGCCAGCAGCGGGGGGCCGGGGCGTCCAGGGCCCGAGCACACACCGCTCGGGCAGCGGTGGGCCGGCTGACCCTCACGGCAGGGAGCCCCCGCCGATGTCCGGGCTCAGCGAACAGCCAGCTTGCCCGGCCCCACGGCCCGGTCCCCCGCGCAGATCTGGAGCAACGACCTGACCATCTCGCTGCTGCACAGCGCGGACATGCGACCGTACAACTGGAGCTACACCCAGTTCTCCCAGTTCAACCAGGATGATTCACTGCTGCTGGCCTCGGGCGTGTTCCTGGGGCCCCACAACTCCTCCTCAGGCGAGATCGCGGTCATCAGCCTGGGTGAGCCCTGCTGACGGCCCTCGCGGCCCTCTGCGGTGCGGTCCTGGGTCCTGCCCCCCCAAACCCCTCCGCGCTGGGCCCCGCCCAGCCCCTCCCGCGGCCCTGACCGCGCCCCTCCCCAGGCCCTGACCCCGCCCCTCCCGGGGCCCTGACCGCGCCCCTCCCGCGGCCCTGACCGCGCCCCTATGCAGACACGTTCGCTCTGCTGTCGCGCGTGCGCAACAAGCCCTACGACGTGTTCGGCTGCTGGCTCACTGAGACCAGCCTGATCTCAGGGAACCTGCACCGCATCGGAGACATCACCTCGTGCTCGGTGCTCTGGCTCAACAACGCCTTCCAGGTGCGGAGTGGGGGCCGCACGCCCGGGCTGCACCCCCTCCCAGCTGGCACCCACCCGCTCCTCTCCCCCAGGACGTGGAGTCAGAGAACGTGAACGTGGTGAAGCGTCTCTTCAAGATCCAGAACCTCAACGCCAGCACCATCCGCACCGTGATGGTGGCCGACTGCAGCCGCTTCGACAGCCCTGACCTCCTGCTGGACGCCGGCGGCCCTGCCGTGCGCCCCTGCAGCGTCTTGGACCTGGGCGGCGACGGCGGG